GCTTCAACTGCACGTCTCCACTTCCTTCTGCTGTACTTTTCACCTGCATCCATGTTAGTCCACACTGTTTCAACTCCACTTCACACGATCTCCTCCATGTCACTCTTGAACTGACGTCCCACTCGCCACGTGCTTCCCTTTCGGCCTGGTTCCACTCGAGCAATGGCCTGACGCGCGCGATGTCACCCAGCGGCCCCCTCAGCGAGTATCCAATCCATCTCCACTTTCTCCTGCATAGTTGTTGGTTAGCGACTGCTTCTTGTCTTGTTTTGTTTGTTCTCATAGTTTCTTGTTGGCGATTCTTTCCGGCCATCTGATCTTGATTAGTATAGAGCGAAGACAGTTGTTGATAAAGGTCTTTGTGACCAGCCAAGTTTCTGATCCATATAGAAGAAGTGACTTGACGTTTGTATTGAAAATCCGACCGAATTTTGTTGTTGATGCTGGCTGAGTGACGAAGATTTCCAGATTGGTTTCAGGTTGATGAATGTGTTCATCGCCTTCCCGATTCTCAACGAAATATGCTATCCTCCATATTGATTTATTCATTAAATATAGGATAAGATACAGATATAAGATTGAAGGATGGCTTGCACTTTCTCATAAGGTGGTGGTACTGTGTACCATTTGTGATATTACGGCTCATTGGCTTTTAATCAATGGGTTACAGGTTCCATTCCGGTCATACCTATTTGAATCTGGGTAGTATCGTAAACCGTATCACAATGTTTTTGGTTTATAATCTCATATACAAAACATTTGTTACAGATAACTGAGTTCTAATCAGTCCGGTGTATATGTGGCCTTCACACTGATTGACTGTCTTCATGTACTTAACCAGAGTTTGGAATAACAGTCAGCTCTTTATCTCAACTTCATCGACATTGAAAATGCCTACGACAGTGTTGATCGACAGGCGATTTGGAAAATAATTCGCTACTAGGGGGTGTCGCCAACAATTTACACCTTATCCAATAGCTGTACGACAATGATGCATGCCAAGTAATCCACAACGGGGAACTCACGGAATTCTTCGAAGAAGTGAAGACAGGAGTAAGACAAGCTTGCTGTCTACTATCTCCAATGATTTTCCTGATTGCGGTAGACAGGATAATGCGACAGACAGAGAACGGGTAGCGAGGAAACAGGCATAAAATTGACCCACACAAAAACTTGGAGGATCTGGATTTCGCCGATGACATATTTATGTCTGATTTCTCAAAAACTGAAAGATATACAAGTGAAAAGCAACAAGTTGACAGAAGAAGCATCCAGAGAAGATGGGACTTCCTGCAGGTAAGCATAGAGAAAACAGAGGTAGGTGATGAAGATTCCTGACCAACAGAAACAGCAACAGACAACTGTTATGTACTGCTGAGTGGTTATTTGTCCTGACGCGAAAAATCTGAAAGGCCACCACGTTCCCGATGATACGTATATTTTCCAACAGTGGAAACTGACTGTCACACAAATGTGTGAGTGAAAGGGTACGTAGTGTACGAAATGTGTGAACAAGTCTGTATAAAAGGGTACAATACAAAAGAATATACGAAAATGACTGATATACATGAACCAATAAGATAGACATCTTACCGTCACTGGATTATGACTGGTTGTAATGTCATGTGACAGACAAAGCATATTGTAAGTTATAATGGAATATCGATCATTATACACATAGCAAAATATAGCAGACTGTCAAAACAAGGTAGACATCATGTAGCTACATATCAACAACAATCAGCATTAATAGGAGGAACCTGAAAGGAACAACCTCCTTTATCTACCTACCTGTATGGGAAGCATCGTTTCAACTACAGGCCGACGGAACTGACGAGGATATCAAAGCAAGAATCAGAAAAGCAAGACAAGCTTTCATTACTCTAAATTCTGCGTGGAGGTCAACAGCACTCAGTATCAAAAATCACATCCGGATTTACAACTCCAATGTGAAGTCAGTGCTACTCACTATACGGATCAGAGACTTGATGCATCATGAAGAGCACCACAAACAAACAACAGACCTTCATCAAAAGCTGTCTTTACTCAATACTACTCAAGACCAGATGGCCGGCCAGTAAACATCAGCAACAGGGATCAATCTCTGGGAGCAAACCAACAGAGCAGGAACCAATTGTGCAACAAATATGCAAGAAGAAATGCAGGTGGAATGGCCATTGTCTGCCGAAACCATCAAGTAACATCACTAAACAGGCCATTGCTCGGGTGGAACCCGAATAGGATGCAGCGAGTTGGTCGTCACTGGGAGGGTGACATGAAGGAGGTGGTGAAAACGTGTGAGCAGACATGCAGCGAGGTGAAAACGATGGCAGAGAATCGGAGGCAATGGAGACGTGTGACTGAAGCCCTATGTTCCTCTAAGAATTAAAGCAAAACAATAATAATACAGTGTACTTAACTGGTTGTTGTCTTAGTCTCTGTCAGTCATTTGGCTGAAATTACTCGTATATGGAGTGGGATCTTTACTGTCAATGCATGTTGCATATTGCTTTCTAGATGTCAGGCCATCTTTATACTTGAGCAGAGAATTTTCCCTACAGCAAGCAGCATATGTGAAGGTTGTTATCAATACCGTTTTGGGTAAAATGTTAATTACAGTACTGTTAAGAAGAAAGGTGAACAAATTTAGTTCTGAATTCTCTATTGAATTCCGATAAATCACTTCGCATTGTCTTGTTATCACTACATGGATTTCGAATAAGAAAGTATATCGGAGGTCATTTCAATTTCCCTAGTACATCAACTAATTGTATTCTTACCAGGTCTGTCTGTTTTCAACATAGAACTTTGCACCCATGTGTAGCAGTTCAAGTCACCACACTCCCTCCATGTAGCACACAAAGCAACATAAGAGAGACAGTAAACACAGGTGTGAGACAAAGGAATAGTAATAACGAAGAACAATAAAGTTTCATTGGAAATTATAAGTCACAAGGAGTAGACGCATCTACACCAGCCATTGAGAACCATTTTCAACCATATTACCAATTGTCTCCAGCTTCCATCGGTTTTTACCATCCCGAAGACCCCAACCAATCAGTCAGTCTACACCTACACACGTGGTTGGCTCAAACTAACCGTTGTGGATTTGATTGACTGATGAAGCCATGTTTTCCTTTGACCACTACTGGCTCTTTTCCAACCTGACCCTATGTCAGAGTTATCATTGACCGTTGTGGAGGAAGGCGATGCATAGACATACATGACTACTACACGTTTCCTAACCATCTCAATCGATGTAACTTGACAGACTGGTTTATTGATTTCCCCTCCCAACAACCTAGCACTCGACCGACGCCTAGCCTTAATACTGCCCACCCTATTCTACCACTTCACACAGGAGATAGAACACAGGCACCTATGACCAAAGACAGCTGGCCAGCCTTTTCATGTCCTCCACTCTAAATGGCCAGGTCTCACGAGCATAAAGAAGGGCGGAGCGGACTGATGAGCGGTACATCCACCCTTTGGTTGACAGCCAGCCGGATATCACGTCTACTAAGCCAGAGACGGCGTAAACTGGCATATGCGAAACTAGCCTTCTGTATCCGTTCTAAGATTTCGTCAGCGATCAACCCGGGTCTAAATGATCGACAGGTGACCCTAAGTAAGTGCGTCGGTGGCACAGTGGTCAGGACTCTCGCCGACCATGCACATGGTCCGAGGTTCGAGTCCACGCCGACACACACCTGATATCTATGGTCGGCCTGCGAATTTTGGGCTACCGATATCCACGCTGAAAATTCCATACTTGTACTTGTAATCAAAAATAAATAAATAAATAAAGTAATAATGTGTTTTCTCTTCCTTTTGTCTTCATCATGAAAAATTTTTGTCTCTCATATTCGGAGCCCACCGAAGTAACTTCCACTGCATCGATGAGTTCGGATTCCACTACCGAAATCCACTGGAGTCTACTCGCCGTTTAGTGGAAGAGAATCAGCTTTCTTTGCTGATATTTTCACATCGGACAGAACATGCTCGGTATCACGAGAACCATGCTAGTTGTAGGCACACACACTCTTTTACATCATTACTATAACTTTATCCTCATATCTTTACTACAGTGTTGGTAGAAGCCTATACTACTACGGAGACTTACTGTCTTACTGTTATTCTCTAACCTACTACTTAAGCCTTCAGTAACAATTGTTCCAACTGTGAAATAAGTTACACCGACAGTTATATAGTTAAAAGATTAGAAGGGGAACTCGGATCACATATATCTTGTAATGATGATCTGAAAATTAAGGCAATAAAATGATGAAATTGTAAAACTAAAAGTCAACAATTTTTCTTTAAAGAAGTATTTACGCACCCTTACTCATAAATTTAAATATCTTTGAAGGGATATAGTAAAAACAATTAAGTAGTATGTATGTCTATATGTAAATATATTCATCCACAAATATGAAATGCAAAATTCTCTTTAAAAAAGAACGTTGGAATAATAATTTTTTAAAAAAAGGCAAATGAAAAATATCACTAGTAGTACAACTGGGGATGATGAGCTTGTTGCTTTGGCTGTGATCACTGACTACTGATTTATTCGCTTTCAGTTGAAGAAGGCATATAACTTGATCGTATATATATATATATATACATACGTAAATGGAGAGGCATGATTTTATGGGTCAAAGAAGGTTATTCAGAAGGATCAAAACCTCTTTATGAAAATCTCATCACTATACAGACCCGAACTTTAATTTCACTTCATTCAAATATCAATCAATCATATAGGCAATAAACAAAGTAATCAAAATCACTAGAACGCAAATAATAAATTAATTAAATGTTAATTTAAATTTAAAATCAATCTGTATAAAAAAATAAAGAAAGAAAGAAAATATCATTCATATAAGATGAATAGTAAAGTGTATGTATCGTGTGAAATGATAAGAGTTCATGTGATTTTGCTGTTTATGTTGATAATGATGATGATGATCATGATAAGTAAACAAATATTTTCGAGCGACCAATCACATCAAGGTCATGCTAGGTGCACTCCTATTGGTTGGATAACAATCAACCAATGGCATAATTGTGAGATAGGCGTCAAAGTTTTGCCATAATAATGTGTAACTCACGTGAAATCTAGGTTAGGAAATAAATAAACAAATAAATAACAGATAGTATTTCTTTATAATTAAAAACATTTTAAATGCAGTCTTTACAACATTCCTAATAGTATTTAATCTATTTCATATTGTTTTAATGGAGGAAAATCAAAAAAATTTAAAAGTTAGAAATGGTTAGGCTGCAGCTGTGGAGCCAGCTACATAAGGGCTTACAAATAAGCAAGTTCATCAAGTTCCCACAAACTGGAAGATATGCAAGTCAACAGCAACAAGCTGGTCATAGAAGAAGCATCAAAGATAGGACTTCAGGTGAACAGAGATAAGACAGAGGTGATGAAAGATTTCTGGCCAACACCAACAGCAACAACAACAGACGACAATCAGCATAAATAGGAGGAACCTGAAAGGAACAACCTCTTTCACCTACCTGGGAAGCATCGTCTCAACTACAGGCCGACGGAACTGATGAGGATATCAAAGCCAGAATCGGAAAAGCAAGACAAGCTTTCATTTGGAATTGATAGTGTTCTCTGAGCTCCTTGGTCACTATCAATTCCAAATCATCCACCTGAGTTACAAATCTTTTCTACAAGCTTTCATTACTCTCAAATCTGTGTGGAGGTCAACAGCACTCACCATCAAAAATAAGATCCGGATTTCCAACTACAATGTGAAGTCAGTGCTACTCCCTATACGGATCAGAGACTTGGCGCGTCATAAAGAGCATCTCAAACAAACCACAGACCTTCATTAACAGTTGTCTTCGCTCAATAATCAAGATCAAATGGCCGGCCAGAAAAGATCAGCAACAGGGTGGGATCTCTGGGAGCGAACCAACTAGGAACCGGTTGTGAAAGAAATAAGCAGGAAGAAATGGAGATGGACTGGCTGGCCACACGCTGAGGAAACCATCAAGTGACATCACTAGACAAGCCGTTGATCGAGTCGAATCTGAAAGGTAAGCCGCGAGTTGGTTGTCCAAGGGTGACTTGGAGGAGGTCATGTGAAGAGGAGATGAAAGCATGTGGGCAAACTTGGAGCGGGGTGAAAAAGTTGGCAGAAAACCGAGGCTAATGGAGACGCGTGGCTAGAGCCCTATGTTCCTCTAGGAATGAAAGGATATAATAATAATAAATGATATTGTTTTAATGTATCACTTGTATTCAGGCCTGTCGATAAAACGTCGTTCAAACAATGCATCAAGTAGGCGAAGATCGAAGTCTGTTGTTTTTTGTACACACAGTTTACGTTGTATGTGATTAATCCCCCAAAGTGCTTCCATCACCTTTAATCACCAACCCTGAATTACAGTTATGTGATGAAATAATTGTGAAACAGTCATTAATATTGATTGATTTTGTGACCTGATAATAATAAGTGTTCTGCAATGGATGGTGATAATGGTGGATTTCTATTCAGATTAATCGCATTGGGATTTTCTATATGATTTAGTAGCCATTTTGGAACATGTTCTTTTCGACGACGACATTGGAACATTCTGTTGGTTCTACCTAAATACATATATATTCAGTTTTATTAGCTTATGGTTATCCGGAGAACTACATCACTTGTCACAGTAAAGATACACCACATCTTGAAAAGACAGCTTCTGTACCAAAGAAAGGTATCTTTATCAAGCTACCATTCAAGGGCGACCAGATTGTGCAGTTGACAGCTAGCTCAAAGACTTCGGTCAACCATCAAACACACATTCTACGCCGCCACATCTCTTTTTTTCATTTCCCGAACATTTTCGATCCCTGTACCTACCTACAATTAAAGGAAGAAATTCTGTGGACTCTACTTCAAACTGTATCTACGAGTTCACCTGCAGCTGCGGTGACACCTATATAGGTAGAACCAACAGAATGTTCCAATGTCGTCGTCGAAAAGAACATGTTCCAAAATGGCTACTAAATCATATAGAAAATCCCAATGCGATTAATCTGAATAGAAATCCACCATTATCACCATCTATTGCAGAACACTTATTATTGTCAGGTCACAAAATCAATCAATATTAATGACTGTTTCACAATTATTTCATCACGTAACTCTGATTCAAGGTTGGTGATTAAAGGTGATATAAGCACTTTGGGGGATTAATCACATACAGCCTAAAATGTATCAAGTGATACACTGTCAACTGTTATTCTGTTTTATTTAGGCAATAGATTCCTTCTAAATAACACATGCTGAGAATGAAGTAGTTACAGCTTTAATGTGTGTATGTTTTTTCCCGTTGTTCCTTCATATTATAATGTGAAATATGCTAAATATCGTTTAAATGATGATAGAAATCCCTGACAACTGTTTCATCCTAGGCTGGGACTCTTCATCAATACGCACTCATCAAGGTTTGAACCCAGAACCTTCCGGTTTATTTACAAGGTGAACTCGTAGATCATAAAAGCCACTGGAACGCTTGTAACTAATAAACGCCATTATAAATGAGCAATTAAATCAAGACACTCACTCCCCTAATAGGCGATGTTATCCGAAGTGAGGTTAGATAAGAAAAGAGGTGTTATAACTGTAGGAATTCAATGAAGACGTTTTCACCTTGCTCTGTCTGCGCCTGAACTAATCTGCCTATCTGCTTGTCGTACCTTCCGATTTAGTAAAGCACGCAAATATCAAAAGACAAAGGCTGGACTGTGACTGTGTATTGAAGTGCAACAACGACAAAGAAAGCCATGGTATTTATACATTTTACAACAATATGGACAGCTAACAGCATTTGAAATAATTTATCTTAATAGCCAATAACAAAGTGCGTGAGAGATGATAATATACCATATGTGCGAGATTGACAGTCAATAACAAAATGTGTGGGAATGATAATATACCATATATACAAGATTAGCAGTCAATACCAAAATGTGTGAGAATGATAATATACCATATATACAAGATTAACAGTAAATACCAAAATGTGTGAGAATGATAATATACCATATATGCAAGATTAAACAGTCAATACCAAAATATGTGGGATCCTATCACTATGTAAGATCATAACTCCAGCTACAGTTGTGCGATCTTAAGGATCCTACCATTTCTTCATTTCTGTTTAATTTCGTCACAGATGTAATAATCGATTTAACCCTAACTGACTTCAGGAACTCAGGGATTGGCTTGTTATCGCCAGGGAATAATAGTTTCGTTGACTTAGAATATGAGGATGATATAGTCCTTCCTCTTAGGTGAACACGCTGACAAAATTATTATTATTATTATTTTTTATTACAGCTTGATTCCACACTGCATTTTTGGTACAAGTATGGAATTTTCAGCGTGGATATCGGTAGCCCAAATTTTGCAGGCCGACCATAGATATCAGGTGTGCGTCGGCGAGGGCTCGAACCCCGGACCATGTGCATGGTCGGTGAGAGTCCTAACCACTATGCCACCGACGCACAGTCTTCTGAGCAACTTCAGGAGTAGCAATCTCAGAATGTTTGGCATACAATTCGCTCCTGTTGTCAAATATAAGATGATGAGGCTACAGGAATGGACTACATTGTCTCACTTCTAGCTTAAAAATAGGCAGGAGTGAAGTGGTGGCTGAGCGTGTTGACCACTTCACTTAATTTGTGGGAATTTGCATCAGCCAGTCTCGATAGGCCGATCGTTCAAGAAATTTCACCGCGGATACAGAAGCTTCGTTTGATATATGACAACTCACGCCATCCCTCGCTTAGTAAACGTGACATCCGACTAGCTATCCATCAAAATACATATGCACTGCTCAGCAGCACTTCGCTACGTCCTCCTTTATCACTGTCAGTGAGACATCGCCAATGAAAGTCGAAGACATGGAAAGGCTGGCTAGTTGCCTTTGATACTAGGTGTCTGTGTTCTATCGCCCGTGTGTGTTAGGTAGTAGGTGTAATGGGGTGAGTAATAGTGACAGGTTAGGCTTCAGTCGAGTGCTACGTAATGAGGGAAAATCAATCCATGAGGTTGTGAAGCAGTTACATCGATTGAGTGAGATGGTTAGGATATGTGTTAAGCATGCATGTCTAGTCATCGAATTCCTCGACGACGGCAGTGTTAGCTGCTGACATAGGACCAAGTTGGACCAAAAACAGTTAGTTTGAGCCAGCCAGCCAGTCAGCCACGTAGGTAGGTGTCGATTGACTGACTGGTTAGGGTCCTCGGGATGGTAAGAACCAATGACGGCTGGAAACAATTGGTGACACGGCCCAAAATCCTTGTTTTCAATGATGGTACAGATGCTTCCAATCTTTGTGATTCATCCCACCATCCAATAAAACTGTATTGTTCTCCCATATTATTCCTCTTTTTCCCTTGCTCACACTACTGTTTATAATCTCTCTTTACTCTCTTCTTTTGGTTTGTGTGGAACAAGGAAGGAGTGTGGCAACTTGAACTGCTGCACATCTGTACAATTCTCTACGTTGAGACCAGTCAGTCAGTCAACTATCCTTTAACACGGTGTCACATTATGGACTGACTGCCTTCTGCTTTTTTTTTATCCAACCTTGAAGCAAACAGTAAACATATAGGTAGCTGTTGGCATAAGATTCAGGAAAGCGGGCATTCCAAGACACTGTTTATCAAAAGATGAACTACACTGTATACGAACATCCACCGTTCGTCTTATACTTATACTCTCCTCATATTCTTTGTGTGAGTACAGCAAGATATAACAACTTGACTGCTCATAACCCTAACGAATACATCTCACAACATCCACGCCAGCCATTACCATGGGATAAACCAAGTACGATGCATCTGCAACCTATTACTATTCACGACAGTAAGACCAAACTGAATGGTTATACATCAACACAGAACGTTGAGTCACTTCAACACGGAACATTTCGTGCTAACAAGCAAATAGGAAATAAGACACATAGAAACATACTACAATAGACGAAAATGAATAACACGGAACAGTTCGATGAAGACAGTGATCTTCAGAACTCCGAAGATAGTGAATAAAGACGTCCGCCTTTGAGTATCGAATGAAATTAGGCTCAGTTAAATCTTGAAATTTCGGTTGCATTATCGATATGAGTGTAGGCGTGCGTCGGTGGTATAGCGGTTAGGACGCTCGCCGACCATGCACATGGTCCGGGGTTCGATCCTCGGCCACAGACGCACTCCTCTAACTCGCTGGGCCAGAAATAATGCTGATAAAGAGGAAAGGTTGGGCATGAGGCTAGCAACCCCATCCTGTAAAATGAAACACTGCTGCAGAAACTTGAAGCCCCATCTTCCACTGGGGAACGTGAAGGGAAAAAATGTAGGTGACAGTAAACAGACGCTTAAATAAGTCTTAAGAGGAGAGTTTATACTACTAACCACAATAAATCTATTATGGATAAGATTTTATTTTGACAAATCACACAGTAATACACACTAAGTAATATTAACTGATGTCTTTTTGTCTCTCTGTCTGGATTCAGCATAGAACTTGGCACCGAAGTGCACCAGTTCGAGTTGAGACCAGTCAGTCAGTCAACTATCCTTTAACACGGTGTCACATTATGGACTGACTGCCTTCTGCTTTTTTTTTATCCAACCTTGAAGCAAACAGTAAACATATAGGTAGCTGTTGGCATAAGATTCAGGAAAGCGGGCATTCCAAGACACTGTTTATCAAAAGATGAACTCCACTGTATACGAACATCCACCGTTCGTCTTCAAAATTACTGACACAGTGGTGCCAATCCTACGAAAGCAGAGATGATCGAACATCCAGAGTTGCTGCATATTTCCACCTTGGAGGTTACATTTCACGCGCGTGTAGAGCAAGCACTGTGAACCTAACATCTGACAGTTAGACTAGTATGAAACGAAAGACGACTACTCAAATCACCTCTGATTCTCACACACACATTAAGTGAGATTATTTAAAAAAAGTCATCCTTAAAATTCTTTACTCCAACGGTATATAAATAAACCTTAATCATAATAGCAGCAGAGAATAACGGAAAAGAGCAAATAATTACACTTACGTAAAAGTTACATATATATCATGAAAGTATTCCAGCTTCATAAGACACAGTTTACTAGAAATTAATTCAAGGGAAAAAGACAGTTGTATAGTAACAATTCACTGAAGTAAATAAGCGTAAAAAGTTCGTGCTGTTGTACTATGAATATACAGCTTTAGTATATGACAGTTTTAAAAGCGAACCTCACTCCAGGGATTATTTTACCATGATATTATTCTTTTTTTCTTTCTTTTTATTCTCTTACATTCCAAGTGGCACACAGGGCTTCAAGCTAGTTCTTCGAAGTCTTAGTAATAGTGGTGTTTTTACAGGATGGGGTTGCTAGCCTCACGCTTAACCTTCCCTCTTTGGCAGTCTTACTACTGGCTTAGCGAGGTAAAGGAGTGCGTCGTTGTACAGAGATCGAACCCCGGACCACTCAGAAATCATCCCTGAAAACGTCAGATCTATGTTAGACGAGAAATTTAGTGGACAGTCTTATCAACGTAATGGTAATGCTCAGTTTAACGAAGCATAACAGTGTCCAGTCAGTCCGATAAATAGCACACCAAAACAGTAGATTACATACCATCAAACTTTAGTAAAAATCAGTGAATCTTACTAGTCTCCTCAAAACATGATGGGAGCGGAAATTGGCACCTGGCTGGCTCGTTTAAAATGGCAAAGTTGCATTCATTTCAAATCATCTTAGGAATTCTAGAAATCTCTACTCATCATCGGATTATTCCATCTTATTTCCTTCCTACATGTTAATTCAAAGTGTAACAAGTTGAACTGATATTAAAAGTTTTGCGTTGATTATTTCCTGGATTTTCTCGCTATATGACATATTTAGTATACACACTCAGCACTCAACAACTTTGAAACTTTGAAATTAAAATTTTAAAATGTTTGACCTTCCTTAGATGGATAAACATAAACAAGAAAGTGTGCAGTTGTTACTCACAGGCAATCGTGTATAGTTACATGAACACACTACATCCATCTGAATGCCTTTATTGTTTTTCATACTTTTGAGTCAACTTACAGTGAGTGACCTTATTCTGCTGTTTTATTCCGTATTAATTTTCTCTTCAATATCTTAATGTGAACTCTTAAGAAGCGACACACTGACTGAGTATTGAACAACAGGTCTTAAGTTCGGATTAGGTTTCATTTCCATTATCATTAAAAAAAGATGTGATCTACCACTTAGTGCACGAATCTAAATGTAATTCTTGAGTTGAATCTTATTTTATCTGAACAGCGAAAAACTACGTTAGATTTCATGATGTTTATATCTTTTAGTGATACTCTATTTATAATAGGACTGTACAAGATTTGTCATGAACTTATACTCTCCTCATATTCTTTGTGTGAGTACAGCAAGATATAACAACTTGACTGCTCATAACCCTAACGAATACATCTCACAACATCCACGCCAGCCATTACCATGGGATAAACCAAGTACGATGCATCTGCAACCTATTACTATTCACGACAGTAAGACCAAACTGAATGGTTATACATCAACACAGAACGTTGAGTCACTTCAACACGGAACATTTCGTGCTAACAAGCAAATAGGAAATAAGACACATAGAAACATACTACAATAGACGAAAATGAATAACACGGAACAGTTCGATGAAGACAGTGATCTTCAGAACTCCGAAGATAGTGAATAAAGACGTCCGCCTTTGAGTATCGAATGAAATTAGGCTCAGTTAAATCTTGAAATTTCGGTTGCATTATCGATATGAGTGTAGGCGTGCGTCGGTGGTATAGCGGTTAGGACGCTCGCCGACCATGCACATGGTCCGGGGTTCGATCCTCGGCCACAGACGCACTCCTCTAACTCGCTGGGCCAGAAATAATGCTGATAAAGAGGAAAGGTTGGGCATGAGGCTAGCAACCCCATCCTGTAAAATGAAACACTGCTGCAGAAACTTGAAGCCCCATCTTCCACTGGGGAACGTGAAGGGAAAAAATGTAGGTGACAGTAAACAGACGCTTAAATAAGTCTTAAGAGGAGAGTTTATACTACTAACCACAATAAATCTATTATGGATAAGATTTTATTTTGACAAATCACACAGTAATACACACTAAGTAATATTAACTGATGTCTTTTTGTCTCTCTGTCTGGATTCAGCATAGAACTTGGCACCGAAGTGCACCAGTTCGAGTTGCCACATTCTAAATACCACACAAAGGTAGACAAGAAGATGAGTGAAGAGAATCAATAGAGTTTGACAAGTATAAGAGTGAAACAGAATGAGTAATGGTAAAAAAGGAATATGAAATATTACAGAGACTGAATACATCTGCGCTGGCCATTGACAACGATTTTCAGTCATGTCACCTATTTCATCCAGTTATTGATTCCTAGAGTCCCGAGGGCCCCAAACCGGAAGTCTGCATCTCCCTCCCTACCTGACTCAGTTTAACTGTCAAGGATTTCATGGATTGATGAGGCCATGTTTTTGTTTGGCCACCACTTACTCTTTTCCAACCTGCACCTATATCAGCCAGTAATGCCTGTCGGCGGGGGAGGCGATGGTTAGGCATGCGCACCACCTGACCTAGCCATCTCAATCTATGTAACTTTATAGCCTCGTCGATTGATTTTCCCTCTTTGCCCAACACTCTACGCCTAACATCAACATTACTTATCTTGTGAAACCACCTAACGTGAGACAGAGATCGCAGACATCTATGATCGAAAGCAGTCAACCTTTTCATGTCTTCAACTCGTAATGGCCATGTTTCAGAGCCATAGAGAAGGACGGAGCGAACTGTTGAGCAGTACACACGTCCCTTCGTTGATAACCGGATGTCACGCCTACGCCAGAGATGGTGTAAGTCAGCAAAAGCAGCTCGAGCTTTTTGGATCCGTGATGAGATTTCGTCGCCAATCAGTCCGTTGGTGCTGATACAATTTCCCAAATAGGTGAAGTGGTCAACATGTTCTATCATTTCACTCCCTATCACTAAGCTAGGAGTTGACGTGGTCCAGTCCTGTAGTAGCATCTTACATTTTGTAGGGGCGAATCGCATGCCAAACATAAGATAAGATAATAGCTTTATTCCAAATCAGTACTTGTGATACAGAATGGAATTCTCAGCATTTTACTACAATATTGCATCCAGTTAGTACATTAACAATAAATAAAGTTCTACATAGATTAAAGTTATCTCAGTCAGTTTTGACAACAACATATTAGCATGTCGGTAGCAAAGCCAAAATTTTAAACAGAGTGTTTGAAGGTGTTAGAAAAGTAGATACTACTAGCATATTTACTGGCGTAAGCGATAGCAAAATGGTCGAGATATACAGAGTGTGAAAGAACGAACAAGAATGTTTTAAGTAGAGTTTGTAAGGAAGAGAGAAACAAAACAGCACATAACAAAAATAAATACAGAAAAAAAAGGTAGAGAGAAAAAACGTTGTACCTGTAAATGATGTGAGTTGGAAAGACGAGATCCATTGTTCTACTGACTATTTAATAAGTTAAAGGTTTCACGCCTAATGCTTTCTTTATCGCACAGAACACGAGCTAGGTAGGGTATGGATGAGTTTTTGTACTTACTATGTGGGCATATAGCTTTCCCTGAATATATGTTGGGGGAGAGTTGTGAATGTAGAGGGTGTTGTGAGTCAGATAAAATGGATTTCGCCCATTTTTCACATGAGTCCATGTGCCTGTCCACCAGAATATTAACAAGCTGGCTAAGTGGCAAACTGCTTACCCTGCTGACAACCTTTAACATCCTACGTAATAAGGTATAGTCTTTCTTCAATAGCCCAGGAAAGACTAAGGGGGAACAATAGAGAATAATAGGCAGAATACGGGAGTTAACAAATTGTAGGAGTAAGGGTTGGGTTACACCAGAATGTCTTAACTTCTTGATGTAGAAGGTAAGACGGAATATTTTCTTAGAAATCGTCAAGATATGAGACGACCAGGAAAGATCAAGGTATTTAATTTCCGACTTGGTTTCTATTTCAGTGCCATCTATGTTGCACACCTCGTGAGTGCTAACCAGTTTGTTTAGGTCAGATTTGTGCCTAAAGGTGAAATTAACTGTTTGGCATTTGGAGGGGTTTAAGGTGAGACCGTTTTCCTTGGACCATTGGCTGATTTCTGATAAGAAGCCATTTAGTTTAGAGCAGTCACTTTGACATTTGACAGGTAAAGATACAGTTAGGTCATCAGCATATTTGACAAAGTTAATGTCATTTGAAGACGGTAGGTCATGTAGGAAGAAGAAAAGAGAAGTGGGGAGAGTACAGCACCTTGGGGGACACCAGCTTCAGTGAGCACAGCAGAGGAGGATTGCCTTTGTATACGGTGTACTGCATTCTGTTTGAAAAGTAGGAATGCAGCTTATTTAGCAAGAGACATCTAGGTACAGAGTCGAAAGCAGAAGTGAAATCAAGAAACGTGCAGCGGACATATTTGGCACCTTCATCTAATGATGAGACAATACTGTTGTGTAAGACGGCTGCAGCGTCTAAAGTACTCCTAACCTGTCTGTAGGCAAATTGTTTGGGGTCTTCGAAGGTTTTAAGGGAGGGTTCAAGTTTAAGAAGTACTAGTTTTTCCATGAGCTTTAGAAACGGGGAAGTGATGGCAATGGGTTTGAACTTTACGTTCTTGCTATTTCCAGGTTTAGGGACAGGAACTATTTTAATGTCTTTCCATGGAACAGGTACAACGTTTTCGGAGAAAGAAGCATTTATGATATTAGTTAGAGAACATAAAGCATCTGCACATTGTTTTAGAACATATGCAGGTATGCCATCAGGGCCAAGACTATGTGAGGGCCTAAGAGTTTTAAGACATTTTAAAACATCAAGAGTGTTAAAGTCCTGGAAGTTATCAGCTGCAAGATTAGTAACTTTAGAAGTGGTTATAACAGAAGGAGAGTGTATAAAAGACTTATTAAGAGCATTAACATCACAAGAGGAAAAAACATTACATCGCTTACTATTGCCAGTAATTTCATTGAAAAATTTCCACATGCTGATAGGAGATTTGCATGATAAAAGTGTTTGGTTATAGATAGCATTCAGATTTTTGATTTCAGATTTGATTTGAGCATTAATCTTTTTAAGTCCTAACTTGTCTTTGCATTTATATAACATTTCTTTTCGTCTGCGAAGTTGTTTGAGATGGGGAGACGAGAAGCGGTCGAGGCGTTTGAACAGTGTTTGTTTGGGTCAGCATATGTCGAGGTAGAACTTAAGATAATCCATTATATTGGTGATTGAGTCATCTAGTGTACTTTCATAGAATAAGTCCCAGTTAGTATTTTTTAACATGCATCTTAGATTGAGAAGGTTATCAGATGTGTAACATAGGAAGATTGCTGCTCAAGGTGTTCAGAAAACTCTGCATTTTGTCAGCATCCTCCCCTAACAGGACTATGTCATCTGCATATTCTAGGTCCATAAGGCTATTCCCTGGTAACAAATCGATTCCTAAGTCGTTACGTTCAGTTAAGGATACTTCCATTAGCATATCTATGATGAAGTTAAACAGAAATGGGGAGAGTGGACATCCCTGCCGGAGACCACTAGTTGTTATCAATTCAGATGAAAATTCCCACATAAACCCTCACACGGCTACGTGAGTCTGAATAGAGTGCCTTGATTAGTGCAATGTACTTTCTTGGCACTCCCTTCACAGTCAGACACTGCCATAGTACCTTTCGATCCACGGAGTCGAAGGCCGCCTTCAAGTCAAGAAATATGACAATTGTTAGACGCCGAAAAGTGTGTCTATGTTCTAGAATCTGTCCATTATAGATGTGTTAATGGACTTAACCCTAGGTGACTTCAGTGACTCAGGAATTTACTTGCTACCGGGGAATAATCTCGTTGAATTAGAATATGCAGACGATATAGTCCTTCTAGGCGAAGACGCTGACGAAATGCAGAGTCTTCTAAACACCTTGAGCCGCAATCTACGAATGTTTGGCATGCGATTCACTCCCGCCAAATGCAAGATGATGTTACAGGACTGGACTACATCGACACCTAGTTTAAAAATAGGAGGTGAAGTGGTAGAGCACGTTGACCGCTTCACTTATTTGGGAAGTACCATCAGCCAATGCCAACGGGCTGATCTCTGACGGAATCTCAGCACGAATACAAGGGGCTCGTTTCGCATTTGTTAGTTTACGCCGACTCTGGCGTAGACGAGATGTTCGACTATCGACCAAAGGGCGGGTGTACTGCTCATCAGTCCGCTCCGTCCTCCTTTATGGTTGTGAGACCTGGTCACTGAGAGTGGAAGACATGAAAAGACTAGCTGTGTTTGATCATAGGTGCCTGAGTTCTATTTCCCGTGTAAAGTGGCATAATAAGGTGAGCAACATGGAGGTTAGGCGTCGAGTTCTAGGTAAACAGGGGAAATCAATCGACGAAGTCGTGCAGCTACAAAGACTGAGATGGTTAGGACATGTGTTACGTATGCCAAGCCATCGCCTCCCTCGACGAGCAATGTTAGCGGATATAGGGTCAGGCTGGAAAACAGCTAGCCAGCGGCGGTCAAACAAAAACTTGGCATCAGTCAATGAAATCCACAACAGTTGGTCTAAGCCACGTAGGACGGTGTAGACTTCCAGGCTGGGGTCCTCGGGACGGTAAAAATCTATGGTTGGAAACAATTGGTGACATGGCTCAAAATCGTTCTCAGTGGCGCAGATGCATCCACTCCGTGACTTATGATCTTCAATGAAACTGTTTTGTTTTTCTTTATTACTCCTTTGTCTCACACCTCTGCTCACTGTTTCTATTATGCTTTTCTTGTACTTTCTTCTCTTGCTTCGCGTGCTACACGGAATGTGGCGACTTGAACTTCCGCACATTTGTGCAAAGTTCTATGTCGAAAACAGACAGACAGACAGAATCTGTCGCAGAGTGAAGATATGATCTATGCACCCTCTATCTGGTCTAAAGTCTGCTTGATTTTTTCTCGTTTGTCCCTCCCTAGTTCCGTTTAGTCTAGGCATGATTACTGAGCCTAGGATTTTAGAAACTATGTTCGTTAGGCTGATCCCCCTATGATTATCACATGAGGACTTGTTTCCCTTCTTGAATATAGGTATAATAAGTGACTTACCCCATTATGATGGTACCGTCTCTGATTCCCAGACTTTGCCTAGTACCTCAGTTAATCTACAAACTAGTATGTCACCCCCATATTTAAACACCTCCGGAATAATTCCGTCGGGTCCAGCCGCTTTGCCTCGTTTCAAATTACAGATAGCTTTCGCGACGTGACTTTTTAGACGGCGGACCAGTGTCTATGTCCCATTCGCGTGTGTGCTGGATGGCGAGGAGGTTCAGTGTTGCTGTAGGCAAGCTAAATTGCCCCATCGGGTGTGTGCTGGATGTCGGGGAGGTTCAGTGTGGCTGTAGGCAAGTTAAATTGTCCCTCAAAGTGTTCTTTCCAGCGTTCAAGGCGTCTATCCTGAGAGCTAATTAAGGAGCCATTTTCCTCAGAAATAGTCTCACTTATGATTTGCCTTCTCCCACCCGTTTCCCTGATGAGTCTAAACAGCTGCCTAGTGTTGCCTATCGCCGATGCTTTTTCCATCTTTCTCCTTTGTCACCCACCACTGTTCACGATCCTTGCGGAAACTTTTCGTAAGTTTCCTTTTGTGCAGCTCTCGCTCCTCATTGAATTCAGAGCTCGCCGGAATAAGTCTTCTAGCATCTATCAGTTCGGATGAGGCGGTGGAGATCCAGTGGTTTTAACTCACCTTTGGATTTACCTTATTCACACCTTTTACAGCTGTATCTGTGGCTGACTGAATATTCTTCCAGGCTTCTTCAGGGTGTGCACAGCTGTCGAACTCAGATGTGTTTAGCGAGTTCTTCCTCAAATACGGATTTAGTTTCCTGATCGAGCTGGGGACGTGATGGTTTTACCGCCAGCTGTTTCCTACGTCCGTTCAGTCGTAAGCACACCCGAGCGCGGACCAGTGCGTGATCGGTATCTACACACGTGTCCCAGAAGGAGCGACAATCTCCTACCGACCCACGCCAACGATAGCTTATTGCTATGTGGTCTATTTGTGTCCAGCATTGGTTTGATGATGGGGGTCGCCAGGTCAAACAGTGTCTCTCCTTGTGTTTGAAGTTAGCGCTTAAAGAAACAAATGATTATCTGAACAGAACTGTAGGAGACGGTCACTGTTGTCGGTTCGCTGGCACGGAACTCGATAGGTGCCACCGACATCTTTCTCAGATTGACACAATTTCCCTACTTGAGCATTAAAGTCACCAGCTAGAACGACTATATCTGAGCGTTTAGCCTTTCGCAGCAAACCAGACAGCTTTTGGTAGAACTCATCCTTCGTTTCATCTGAACTGCAATCAGTGGGGGCGTAGGCAGAGATTACGAAAAGGCATCGGCGAGTAGTGCAGTCCTTTCTCCTTTTTACTGATCCGTTCAGACGGACAGCACACATTCGGCTATCTACCGGGATCCAGTCAAGTAATGTCTTTCTGCCCTAGTACTCAAAGCTATCCCTACATCAGGACACTATCGGTTGTAGTTTTTTGGCTTCCGTCATATGTGGTGGACACAGAGTGAAGAGCCATCAAGTAGAGGAATTGCATCAATGGAAGGAAGGCAATATAATAGAGATGAAGATGAAGACAAAGATAAGTTAGGATCAGAGAGAATTCGTGCGCGTTTCGAATTGTGAGGGCGATTGTTACTTCCCGGCTGCCCATATCGTGGAAGTTAGTGGCGTGACCGCAGAGCCCAGGCGACAACTGCTTGAGGTCGGTCACAAGCGGCCTGTTTTTGTTTAGTGTGTCTCAGTAGCATATTTATCACTTCTGCCCAGTGACACGGCAGCAGGAAGCGCGGTCGTTGTAAATCGGGGCCACGGCCGATGCGGCATGAAGTTTTGTGATTTTGTATTTACCATAATGTTGGATTGGGTAGCTGCTTTTTGTCTAACCGCTATCCAAACAACCTTTCTGGTATGGTGAGACCTCAAGCGATATAAGTCTCAGCCAGTATAGCTTGTTGGGACATTGCGGTGTTCGAGCCCAACCACCACGTCAAGGTAGCAGCTTTCGGTTGGGAATATTAACTGATGACGACGTTTCGAGCACAAACTATTGCTGCTCATAATCATCATATCAAGTCACTCACTCACACAACTTTCTTGCTTCATTTATATACATGACTAAACATTGATGATTAGACATTTGAATAAAGCCAATATAAGATAAATTACATTCGGAAATAATATTAGTGTTATCAATCATATACCGTCAGATGGGAAAAAAGATGGTTTTTACAGTACATGTAACTTGTTAGAATGTCATAACGTTAATTGAATACATTTTAACATTACTTATCTTATATTGATTTTATTCAAATGTGTAGTCAATTTTACTCATGCACATAAATCAACCAAAACGTTATGTGAGTGACTTGGTATGATTGTGAGCAACAATAATTTGTGTTCGAAACGTAATCAGTTAGTACTACTGTACAACATTGTGTGACATCAAAATAAAATCTTATCCATAATGGAGTTATACTCTACCACAGTTCCCAAGTTTTATATCAAGTAACACAATAAATCTACACGTTTGTAAACACCTCAGTGATTTAATATGACTTATAAGACTAACACTCAAAAATATTTAATATTAGCATAAGGCGTGAAGAAACATAACACACACCGAAGAATACAAATAACTCAACGGTCACCCTGCTGTACACAATAAAGATCGGTGCAAGAAAAGGATTATTTAGAACATCAGTCCTTAGATAAGTAGGTGGAGGTTAATAACCAATAAGTGCTTGCATTCTCATGAATTTGGCAATGAGCCACAACTGTTTTGGGAAAGGATTAGCGATGCTACCTGAGTTCTTAATCATCGACAGGCGAAGCGGGATACGGAACTACGACCCATCTATTGAAAATCTGACTTGGACCAACAAATCACAACTCACACGAGTGCAATATAGTGATCTATTGGGATTAGTAGGCTTATATGCAATTAAACTGAGCAGCCATGGACATCTGAAAACCACCTATGCTTTAGCCTTTATGTGGATTAATTTTTTCGATAAAACAAACAGCGAACCCAAAGTATACTTCAGGTTCCACACATTAAATAATAACTGAAGTCGAAAACCATTAGCTCACTTACATTACATCAAAATGCTTGTGCTCAAAGTATAACAATGTCGTTACGTTTAACAAAGTTTTTGAACGAAGTGGCGTTGTCCAGGTGGTATTGGAGACAGTTTCTTGTAAGTCAACCGAACGATATTTCGGAGATACAGTGATTTTGTTAACTGTTACCGGGACAAAGTTTGGGTTTGAAACGTTGATTTGGTTCTTAATTAGCATTCGTAAGTCATCTATAATGAACATACATTCACAGTGAGGTATATCACAGAATTTTCACTGTTAACGATAGCAGTAATCGGTGATAGTTTGTATACTGAGCTGCTAATAGAGATTGTTCGTGGGAAAAGGAATATCAAAAGGAGGACAAAAGTTAAAGAGCATACTACCACGGCGCCGAATAACTTGAGGCACATCCTGCGTGGTCGCAGTCGTCGGTCCGTCAAAGGAATTAAGGCCACATATTCTGCCTTTGAATCTGAAACATTTAATCACAAAATACACCTTAAGTACCTTTCGGTACATATCCTGCCCCTGAACATGTTGGGCACGTCGCCTGTCCAGAGAGAACTTCATACATTGGCATTCTGACGGTAGAGACAGTCAGCTGGACACAGTGGCCTTCAGGTATCAAAGTTGTCCCTCTTCCCGAGGTCAAACGTTTCAATCTTCAAGATTTCAGATTTATTGGTTGGGGATAGAAGGCTTGGAGCCTATTTTAATCCTTTTCTAGTAAATTTCTGTGGTTGTATAAACCCTTCTTGAACGAATCAATTGAGGTTGCAGACACCACTTCTTCTGGGAGTCCAATATCCAATATCGTTTTTACGAGCTAGTATTTTTTTTTTTTTGATTACAGCTTGATTCCACACCGTATGTTTTTTAGTACAAGTGTGGAATTTTCAGCGTGCTCGCTTCTTGATTGTAAGGTATAGATTCCTGATCTTCGGCAAACTTCTGCGTAGCTTGTCCCGCCACTCGACTGTCGTAGCTTTGGTTGACTCTAAAGGGAGTAGTGCTGGGATTAATTATATGTGGTTTGTAGTATGGGGTATGTTAAGACTGTTACTACTGTGATTGGAGTTGATCCTTTCGCCAGTTAGTCCTTCGGTATTGTCGACAAGAGAAAAGAGATAGTAATAATAATAATAATAGTAATAATAATAATAATTCCAAGAGTTTATGACTCGGTGTTAGAACCAGTACTCAACAACAATATGATTTCTTCTTGGCTTTTGAACACTCCTGCTATGTCCTCTAAGGTGTTCCGACCTGGTGGGAAGGAAAAGAGAGAGTAGGTCAGGTCCGTAGTCATTATTTAAAATTTTAAACATTGTGATGAAATCTACTCTCTACCAACGGTATGACAGTGAGAAGAGATTTAAACTGTCTAGTCTTTCCTCGTATAATAATAATAATAATAATAATAATTTATTTTCATATAAACATAAATTTACAATATGATACGTTAGCTATGCCGTGAACCATACGTATTGCCTTCCTTTGAACACTTTCTAGAATGTGGGAATCCCCTTTTAGACAAGGACTGACGGCCTGGATGCAGTTTTCCAGTCTTGACCTAACCAGAGATGTGTATAAGGAGGTGGACATATCTCTGGTAATTCTAGTGAAGGTTCTGCGAATCGCCCATAAGGACCTGAAACTACGTGCATCCACCGCGCGACAGTGTGCTGTAGTTTTTAAGTCGTGGCTAACTATGACACCTAAGTCCAAGTGAGTCTGAACTGATGGAAGTGTTATTCCCTCTAGTTCGTAGGAGCTGATGCTTGCTTGTTCAATGCTCATGGTTGCACATTTTGCCACACTGATCGGGAGTATCCATTCTATGGATCACTCTGACAATTTATTAAGGTCCTCTTACAACGTGAACGTATCACTGTAGCCCTTCAGCTCTCTCCGAATTTTTAAGTCATCTGCTTATGGGACCGTAGGGGAGTCGGTGAGCAGAGGTAACTCATTGATATACAGAGCAAATAGGAGAGGACCGAGTACAGTGTCTTGTGGCACTCCGCTGCGTACTGTTGTCCAAGATGAGAGTTTCGAGGTGATTCTAACCCTCTGCCTCCTATCTATGAGGAATTCCCTGAGCCACTTTAGTAATCTGCCTATGATACCAAGACTTTCCAACTTCATGAGTAGTCTTTTGTGAGGTACTTTATCAAAGGCTTTGCTGAAGTATATAAAGACGACGTCAAGGGGTCTTCTGTTGTCCTTTGATTTGGCCCAGCTTTCTCTTGCAGTGAGGAGATTTGACAGGCATGAGAGATTCCTCCGGAAGCCATCGTGTGCTCAAGATAACAAGCTGCTATTTTCCAGGTATACCATGATGCTTTCCTTGACAATTCTTTCCAGTGTCTTGATTAAAGTGCAAGTGAGACTGATAGGCCCGTAATTTGAGGGGCTTTGTCTTGATCCTCCTTTGTGTATGGGGGTTACTATAGCGTCTTTCCAGCCACGCGGTAACATTCTATTTGGGGAAGGGAGCCTGAAGATAGTGGTCAAAATGGTCGGCTATGTGAGTTGATAGCTCCTTGAGAAGCCTTGGATGAAGATTATCAGGGCCCATTGATTTCCCTGCATCTAGTTTCACTAAGAAGTTGAGTACGATGCCTTGGTCCATGTCAACGAATCTATCCCGTATTCCTCTGATGCAGCCAGAGCTGATCCTATAGGCACTGATGACTCCTGAGTGAAGACTTGGGAGGAGTAGTTTGCCATTGCTTCTGCTTTTTCTTGATCTTCTTCGATTGTATCATTGTCAATAATCAGGTGTGGGACATCATTGGATGTTTTATTCCTGAAGTTCGTGTACGCGAAAATTTTCTTAGGTTGTGCCTTCCATTTTGAGCCAGATGTGCTTCGAACTTCATCCTTGAATGGTGCATTTCTGTAATAGATTTATTTTTAGCGGTGTTATATAACTTCCTGGTCTCAGAAATCTCAAGTGCGGCAAACAGGTTCCAACATTTGTGTTTACGTCTGAGTAACTTATGAATCTCTCGGTTTATCCAAGGGGGTTAATGTTTCCGACCCTTTGTGACAGACCAAGGGATGAAAGGTTCAGTTACTTGGGCGTAAAGTTGTTCAAATTGGTTCTATGTGGCTTCTACTTAGGACTCTGGGTTGATTCACCAGCTTACTGAGTTGGCTGCTGAGACGATTGCATTTATATCAGCCTTCCAAACGTTTGGTTGAGCTGGGGTTTTGGCCCTTGCTGCCGTTGCTGTGAACTTGAAAGTGAGCACACCATGGTCATTTCTTCCTAAAGGAGGAGGATGTTGTATGAGATCCACATCCTCAAGCTAGCTTCAAATTCACTTCCAATATCCAATATCGTTTTTACGAGCTAGTATAAACCAATTTGATTTCTTTGTGCTCGCTTCTTGATTGTAAGGTATAGATTCCTGATCTTCGGCAAACTGCGTAGCTCGTCCCGCCACTCGACTGTTGTAGCTTTGGTTGACTCCAAAGGGAGTAGTACTGGGATTAATTATATGTGGTTTGTAGTATGGGGTATGTTAAGACTGTTACTACGGTGAATGGAGTTGATCCTTTCACCAGTTAGTCCCCCGGTACCGTCGTCAAAAGAAAAGAGGTAATAATAATAGATATAATTAGTGAAGTTATTCAGACTAACAGACAGAAAAAGAAATAAGAAAACATAACAACAGTCAGCTGATTAAATTTGAAGAATTATATATATCTGTAATAATAATAGGTATAGTTAAGGTTGTCAGGAGAGTAAGACAGGAGAGAATGTAAAGAAGGGAAACGACAAGTTTAATTGTCTACCCCTGAATGGTTTATGCTTCTCATAATTTTATAATCGCAGGTGTTTATACGTTTTGGCCTTTTATAAAGTGCTGCAACTGAAATCATATGCTTGGTGGGTAATTCTATCTACACACGAACCCATGTTTAGAAAAGATTCGGGTTCAGATATTTAGTTAGGGGTAGAAGGCCATATTTGCCCTTTCCTAATGAGTACCTCACTTTGCCGGATTCAGAGCTGCCTCGACGTTTCTTATGGAAGTTAGTTCTAATAGTTAATGACAATGTATTGTAACAAGTACTGCACATTGAAATATTTCCTCCTTTAATTTCAAACTCTCCTTCTACTTTTCCCGAGTAGTTTATGTGTGATGAAAAGTGAAAAGGGGGATGGGCAAACTCATAGGCATTTCTGAGCATTCTAAACGTTGTGATTATATCTGTTCTGTGCTTACAGCACGTTGGTGAGATCGGTTCCAAGCTGTAAATTTGTTTCTCTTCTAGTGATAGGTAATCCCCTAGAATTATTGACCACAGCATTCATCACTGATCATTGGATGCTGACCCTCACCGTTTAAGTCAACTTGTTTAGCTGAAGACTTCCGGTCAAGCGCCCACGCCATATGGTACTCCATTGTGTCACGTTCGCCCGTTCATGCACGATCCCTAACCACCTGACCAATCATCTAGCACTCCGATTTGGTCCGGAAATTCTGTTCGTAGTTTGGACGATCATTTCTGTTGTTTTGCTTTGCCTTTGTTATAGGCGGAAGGAGTATTACAGAAGTTTTCGGTATTCGACCTTGCTCTAGTATGCATCTTGCCATCCGTGAACGTCAACACCCGCAGCCCCTAAATTCCCATGATGGGTTTACGACACCTGGATACATATTTGCGGTCTTTCTTTGGAATCACTCTAGATACACCAGTCCCACTTAGGTTAGGACAGGTTGTGTGAACGCAGTTTTTAGTTTTGGACCCATCAGAAATGTCCATAAAGCAGTGGACATCTCACAGACTTTGCCCATAAAGATCTAAAACCATGATGCTTAATGGGAAGCCAGTGTGCCGTGGCTTTTGAGTTATAACCTGTTAACAGTTAAATACCAATATGTGTAAACTGTTGGCGGCAAAGTTTTTCTGTGTCGTATGCGCTGACATTTGCTCGTCTGACGCGTGATTCCGCTGACGGAATACCTCCATTTCGTGGACCAACCCATTTCGTTACTGAGAACTGTTTGTGGTGCAGACATATCAGCGTTACCTATCAACTATCTCCAGGCCCTTGAACCATGCGTGTAGAGCACTATGAGAAATATTGTAATCCCCGATAACTCGCTGGTTTACAGGATAAATAAAGTGGTTTGAATACGGTATCTTGTGGCACACCACCACTCACCGAAGTTTAGAAGATTCATTATTTCACCCCGATACTCTCTCTTGCTTTCAAGAAATTCTGGTTGAGTATGCTACCCTTGATTCCAGATATTTAGTTTCATGAGCAGTCTTGAACGAGTAAACTATAAAAACCTTTGAAGGAATCTCCGAACACATCTTCGACATGGTTCTTCTCATCTCAGCTTCCTACTGCCGTGACATCTGCCAGACAATGGAGATTTTCTACAAAACAGATGTTTGCTGAGTAAAAGGTTGTCCTTTTCGGAAAATACTGTTATACCGTTTTCACTCATTCCTCCCAGCACCTCGAAAGAAGTGTGCGTGAGGCTACCATATCCCTCTTCCAGCTCTAGGCAAAGTTCCTAAAGCTAGTCCATGTAGTTGTATCACACTTTT